GGAAGAATTGAGTCTGAACTTGCTATATCTCAATCCTGTTTTAAAACGAGATTTATCATCAATCCTCCGGTGATATATTTTTCCCTCGAAGACATTTCGTAATTTATTTCTCGCTTCGCGCGCGTATTGGAAAGTACGGCCAATTTTACGACGCAGTGGCTCGCGTGCGTATAGTGAAATTCGCGCATAAGGGAGAAAAAAAAATACATTTACGCATCGATGTAAATTATGTATACTATAAGTAAAAGTTGCGGCCGCGAGGTGCGTGGTGCGTTTCGGCGTGGTGGATAAAGTTGTCGCTTCCGCTATATAGTTTACCGCGGTCGAGTGCGATAGATCGAAACGATCGACGCGCAGGTGTAAAATAATCCGTTTCAAGATGCGACAAGGTTAGATGGCGACGTTCGTTATCGCTACCTTGTAACATATATCTTTTTACGCTCATTAGCGTTCACGCATCCGGCGAGGTGACGCTCGTTCGCTACTTACGAGCGAAATAGACTATCGGGGGCCATCGATAGACGAGGAAATATGCCCTTAGGTGATGCAAGAATGACGTGGATCCGCGTCTTCAATATCGAAAGTTTCGCCCGTGAACGTGCAACATGCCATTCAATTAATGAGTCAATCTATATGCCCCCTATGGCGATATTGATTTCCCACTTGTGCGTTTGTCGCGGTTTCTTTTACATGCCCTTACGTAATACGGGAAGAAGGCGACGTGATACAATCGCGGAGAAGATCCGCGGTGGGCCGCCTATTGTTAGTGTCGCTTACAATAACGGGATATCAAAGGGACCGGTGTGCGCTTGGATTGGCAAAAATGCCAATGGATTATTCATAGCAGACGCGAACAATAAACGAAGAAAAAAAAGCAATGTAACGTTCATTAACAGACACTACCGTTCCGCGGGACGTGATAGGTAGGGATCTTCGTTAATGGCAAGTACACCGAGTGCCGCCTTTTAATGAGGACGTTTACATTAGAGGTGGACAATAAAGATGATTACGACGCGGTGCCATATGCGGCATTGGCATTACAACCACCGTTATTAACCATTTAATGCTGCGCAAGCAGCAGTTTTACGGCATTTGACATTTGTCCCGCGCGATCACGCGTTCCCGTTTAACGCAGCCCGATAATCTCGATGAGAGAAGAACAGATTTTTCTCTCTAAGGCGAATGCGGCCTTGCTCCAAATGCACCGCGATAACGCTCGACCGTTAATTTATATTCACTTTTGCTGCATTAATAGACGAAAGCTCACCTCGAAGATCGTATTTATCGCATTCTTGGAACGATTGGAACGACAAGCTCGCACGATGACAGCGTAATTAGCCGAGGATAATGGCGGAAATGAGGAGTAGTGTCGCCTTAAAAGATTGACGACGCAATTAATGGGCTGAGCATCTTCATAATGTCCGACATACACCGATATCAAACTTAATGTCGTGCCTTAATCACACGGACACCAAGGACATTCCGAGCAAAATTTCTCTGCGTGCGCGATATTACTCTTTTCGACTACTAATGAGAATGAACTCGTTTCTCTGTTTTTTTCGAACGTTACGCAAATTCCGTTAACATTATCTCGATGTCTCTACCTCTTGGGAAAGTGTTAGCTTTTTATTTTCAAAATTTCGACATTCTTTTCAGAGTTCTAATTACTTCCAAAACTAATTAATTTTAATTAGTTTTAGAAAAGCGTAAAAGCAGGTAACAAAGATATAAAGAAGATATAAAGCATGAATTTTTTCGTGGTTCAAAATATAAATTTAACATTTTTTATTTCAATCAGAATTAATTTAAGCCTTAATTCTTTTCAATAGAATTTTTGGAGCATTTCCGAATTCCTAAAAAATATATATACGAAATATTTCCGAAAAAAATTCATCTGTGGAAACTTAGAAAAATTTCATTCCGAAAAATGAAAAATTCAGATCTCCAAAAATACCACTTTTTTATTCAGATTTCTGCAAAAAATTATTCACGCACGATGAATATAGTTGGAATTTAGAATTTATCAAATTTATTTTAACCAATTCGAAAATAGCGAGAAATCTTCTTGAAACGTATCAGGAATTGTATATATTAGTGAATGTAAATGTGAATGAAAACACAAGCGTGAAAGCTAACGCACAGAAAGATGTCTATTGAATTTTATCATAAAGATGAAAAATAGCATTATTTTTTTAAATTAGATTATCAGAACTAAAAGATTTTTTATATTGATAATTTTTCATGTTAAATGTATACGCATCTTTCGAAAGTCTCTGAAAAAAGGCAGTTAATAGGTCTTACTTATTTCAATGTAACAAATATCCATTAATGTCAAAATAGATACCATGCAGTTCCTTAAAAAAAAAAAATTTTAATTTGTCATCTTTTAGAAAACTCCGCATACGGAGTTCAAAATCCGTTTCGAAGTATTATGTTACATGGGCATGGCACAGGTGCGGCGCTTCGAGGCTGACCGGTGTATTGAGTTCCACAAAAATTCCTAACGACTCCTCACCGTAAATGTCGCCATTCTCGCTATCTCTTTCTCATCTTCTTATACTGCTATTCGCATCCCTCCCCACCTTTCGCTCGCACAGGAATTTTTGAGATATCGACACGCGAAGAATTGTAGGTACCTGTCACTGTATCATATGTTCGGCTTCGATGATTTCGTCATGAAATCGCGCTTTGCCTGACGTATTTACAAATGTTCTCTTCACACGCTAGACATTTATGTAGATACTCACGCGGTATTTTGCGTTGACGTCCAATCATATGTCTAACTAGCTATATTACATGGCATCTATTTCGCATTTTAGATTATTTAATAAAATCTTTTACAGCATTTCATAAAATCTTATTTTTCTGAGGGTTCTGTATAACAGACGAACTTATTTCCATTACAATGATAACGATGGGCGTTGTTACAGAGTAATGATGTGCAGCGCTTTGACGCGGGTGTAATAAATCAATCATATAGCGCATCATAATTTATATGCCTCTTGTTATTGTATTCCTGATTTGGCACGATCGTTTATATAGCGAGCAATGACTTAAGATAAATTGGAATAATCTGTATATAATTAAAGTCAATATCATTAAGCTGCGTGAAAGCACATTCAATAGGCGAGCGTATAAAAACCGCCACAGATCATTAAGAAGATTTAATATCCTTCTCGCGTAGTCTTTGAACTGTGTTCTTAATGTACTATTTCTAAAGACAAGGCAGGCATTTTTCACGTTAATCGACGCGGTAAATAAATACACAGGTCTTACATTTCTCTCCGCTGCGTGTATGACTTAACGCCTTATACTGGCCCCGGCGGTTCAATTAAAATCTTCTTTTATTCGCTCGGGAATGTACATCACGCAGACCGGCAAGTACGAGACGGGGAGCGTTTCATTAGAGTCGCCGTACCGGTCTCGGGCCGGGACGAGCGCGAGTGCGCGTCTGAAAAACCCCAAGACGTCGCGCCGGGAACGAAAAAGAACGCGCAAACTCGTTCAAGTCTTACGGCGAGCGCAGTCCTTGGGCGGCGCCCGGTCGCGAAGGTAGGCCATACCGATGCGAAATGCACTTGATTTACGTGCGAAAATGGCCAATTAACTGGCGTAATCGGCACAGCGAATGCGACACAGCCCGCGACGCGACGCGACGCGACGCGATCGCGCCTCCGCTCGGCGTGAAGTCGCGGAAATGCTCAGTCGCTAGTACGATTCTAAACGACTGCGTGAGAGGATCCGCGGATCCGGATACACTTAACGCGCGGGAAGGAAGCGAGGCGGCGACGACGGCGACGAATCTCTCAGCATCTCTCTGCGCGCGAAGGACGAAATCGATGCAAAAACAACGGCGGCGGACTTGACGCGCGAAGCGATGACGGCGCGGCAGCGCGGCGGCGCGCGGAATTCGAGAGCGCAACGAGCGTTATGCAACGATCAAACCGGAATGTCGAGGTGCTCCACGCCCCCCGAGAGACGCCGAAATTCTCGTCAATCTTCCTCTCGCAGGAAGGAAGAGTGGGAGAGTGGAGGATGCATTCGCGATACCCACCGTCCGTGCTTTGATGCCGCGCGCTTTAAAGTATGTCCGTTCGATATAAAAATAATAACCGGGACGAGACGGATTTCTCGAAAAAGACCCGGCATGGTGAAATCGTGCATTATCTAACGATAGAGATTTGGACGCGCGAAGGTGACATTATACTCATCGCTGAGGTAATCAAGTAATAGTAAGCACACGTATTGTATATCTCGACTGAACTGTTTCTAAATGTGCAGCCGCACAGCAATGTGAAACTTTGAATCGATGTTTATTTCTATGTAAATAACTTTAATCTCGATTTACTCCTTATTTTCTTTTAGTTTCTTTCTAGAAATTAGAAAAAATAAATTAATTAAATCGAGATTAAAGTTAAGTCTACATTGATAGAAATAAACATGACATTTGTTTTAGTATTGAAGAAAATGTATATTAACGTTGACGTTCGAACGCGACACTTTCCCCAGTTCGTGTTGCTGATGCAACAGATAAAAATGATATGATCGTCTGCACGCGTTAGAACAAGGTGTGAAAAATCGGAAATAACGTCCTAAGTAATAAATTGAAAAGAACAGATATTTACACACACAAAAAATGTAAAAAGTAAAAGTCAATAAGAAGTCAATTTCGATTTGGTGCTAGAAATTACGTCACACGGTACATTGGTTCTTCTTTCGCGCCGGGTACAGTAAGCAGATTCAATCGTCAGTATCAGCAGTAAAACGATCTTCATGGCTTGTTAAATTTCATCGTTGTCTAAAAGCCATTTAAATGCGCGGTTTAATGCATTTACTGACGGTACCGCGCGCAGCTATATGTAGAGTAATGTTTTCTGACGACAGATAAACGACACCGCGATCGCAGGTGGAGGACATGCGGGCGAGAGAGTAGAATTGCAATCGGCACAGCATTATCGCTTATGCAATCGAAGCTTCACGTCGATTTACGTTGGTTTCAGATCGAGACGACGGCGGTGGCAACAACAACGGCGGTAGCTGCCGCCAACCCGCTTTCCTGGCACATCCCAAGGCCGTCCTTGGTCGGGCGCAGCGAGAGGGACAGCGAAAATGGAAGCTGGGCTCATCACTTGCATCCGAACTCCCCCTCGAGAGGGTCGACGTCATCTCAAGGATCCACCGCCAGTACACACGTAAATTTCGTCTCCTTAATACACGCAGGAATATTGAAATTGGCCTGATTTTATATTAAAATTAAAATCCGCTTTTCGATCAACTTAAACGCCCGGGATTAAAGCATCTTGAAAAATTATTTTACTTTATCCCTCCCATTTTGATGGATGGAAATGATAAAATTTGACGAATAATTTAAATTATTCACAGAAGTCGCGCAAATAAATTTGTCAGACAGTCCTGATTGTCAAAAGTCCAACTTTCTATGTTATTAAAGCGGCATCTACAATGAGATTTAAAACTTAAGATTTAAGAAAATTGACTCATCACAATCGATTATTCCTCTCACGTAAGATAAATAATCGATTTTTTTTAAATTTTAAGTCTTAAGTTAAATTAGGTTATTGTAGACGCCGCTTTTACGTGGAAAAAGTTTAAAACGAGTTTTTAGATTTTACAAGATAGTAATCGAATTTTTGGTGATACGGTACGGTTTGCAGAGCGTCGCGTCGGGAACGTTGCTACTCACGGCCGCGAATCTGGCAAATCTCGCCGCCATACATCCGCCCACGGTGACGGCGCCGAAGCAGATGGACACCGCCTCGGTAGCCAGCAGCACCCACTTCACGGTCGTGAACGGTCTCGGCAGACCGGTCACCGTCTACAGGAAGTCCTGGTGCGCGCGAAATCAGCTCACCGTTCTCGTGTGCACCATGAGTTTTCTGTTTATGGTCGGTCTACTCGCCGGGATCCTTTACATGGAAAGTGAGTATCTGCCGCAGCACAGCAGTAACAGCAACAGCAGCAGCCGCTGCCGCGCAAACTATTGCCACATCCATGCGGTGTTTCAACACCGCGCGCGCGCGCGCGTGATCTCCGTAGATTCACCGCGAACTTCCTCGCTGATGTTTATCCTCTGATTGCAGTGAGGGCTCGCGACAAGTACAACTAGGCCGAGGGTGAGCGAGGGGAGGAAGAAACAGGCGACGACACGTGACCGTGAATAATGATCATAGTGATAGAAACGAGCAGCGAGGGAAACGACCACTGCGGAGAGAACGGAGTCGGGAAAAATCGTCTCCAACGAGGAGGAGACGAAACAGAGAGAGAAGGAGAAAACGCTGCACGATCCAGTCACGATATTAATTTGACTTACTCATATTTATATACGTGTACGCGTATACATCTTGCGTTGTATAAGCCGTTTCAGATCGCTCTCGCAGTCAGCGGACGTTTCCCGGCGACGGTTAGAATCTTAAGCATATATAATGTATAGCGTCTTAAGTGTATTGCACCGCGACAGAAGTGTGGTACGTGAAAACCAGTAATTACATTTGTGTAATGAGCGACGTACTGTTAAGGGATTGACGAGATCCTCATACGATGGGATATAGCCTTGCGTATTTATGCTGGAATTTAACGGAATTCTCCGGATCGTACCGAGCGAGTGTATCGCACGATTCGGTGAATGGCGTAAATATTTTATGTTAATTAACGTCTTACCGCGTAGCGCGTGTCATGTAGAGCACAACTTTCTCTAAAATTTCTTCACTGTTTTACTGTGTGGTTATGACATCTTATCTTTCTCTCTCTCTCTCTTTCTCTCTCTCTTTCTCTGCACGCCGCATACTTTTTCGCATAGAAAAATATATGTGGTGAGGGGTACGATTACGGGACGATAGTGGCACGTGACGTGGTCCGCGATTGCTCCAAATAAAACGTGCGTTTCGCATTACGCCTTCGGCGCTTCTCCTACCTTTGTTAGTTCTCAACCGATTTATCGTTTCAATGTAAATCGCGTCGACGTTGTCGAGAGCCGATGACGGAGAAGAGATAAAACGATAAAACATCATCTAAAGTGTCACTGATCCTAGTCGTCCAACGAAATCTCTCCGATAGTATTTTTTTGAATAACAAATACCGACGGACAGTTTGTAGCAATCGACGAGATAAGGGACCGAGATAGCGAGATACCTATTTAGGGCCTGTAATTTAATTTTTACTAACAAGCGCTCTGCCTTAATCATACCTGGATTTCCGTCGGACTGTTATTCCGGGAGCAGATGTTAACGGGAAAGCAATGAAGGGCGGTCGCGTCGATCGCTTTTCGCGTCTGTGATATTACTTGCGTATTAATCGTCGGTTCAACAAGAAACTGTCAAATATACTGAGCGTCGTTTCATTTCAACCTGCCTCTTGCAGAATATTCAATAACAACTGGACAATGATACGATATCATGGAGTAAGTATCTTAAGCGATTAATTCGCCACAGGTTCGATATTTACTTTCGATATATATTTTCAATTATAACTCAACTACCATCAAAGTAAATGTTAAAATAAACCTAAGTTGCTCTGTGCTTAGATACAAATAAGAAATCGATATTCAAGAATATTTTTCTAGTCTCTATAAATATTCTTTAAAAAGATGTTTCGGCGCGCCACATGTGTAGTTGATACATAAAATATGACACAAAGCACTCACCTCCACTTCTCCAAGAGTCTGCGTCCATCGATAAGTCGGCATGTCTGCACCATTACCGCTGTTGGGCTTAAGTTTATTTTTCTCCTTTTCGTCTTCTTCCTCGTCGGATGCGTTGCCATCCTTAGAATCGGTACTTTCACGTTCGTCACTCTTAGTGCTGTCACTGCGATCGCTGCTAGATCCTGCGACAGCGGCATCACTTGCCAATTTCTGAATAACAAAAAATCATTTGAGTAATTTGTACAATATCTTGCATATCTTAAGGAAATCATTAAAAAAACAGAATAAAAATTAGAACAGGTATTACAAATATATAGATACCTTGCTGTCTATTTCTTCTTGTAGTTTAACAGCCTGTTCATCAGTTAATTCAACTATTCTAGAATCGTTATCTATTTTCTCTTCCTCCACTTGCTCCTCTTTCTTCTTCTTCTCGAGTCTCTCCTTACGCCTTCTCTCCTGCTCCGCTCTTTCTGCTTTATCCGAGGCAGCTTTGGCGAGAGCACCGGCTTCATGTTTCTTGAATTTGCTCATGACAAGCTGCGCATAAAAAATACAAATCCGATTAACGTCGAACCTTCTACAATAATAATGTAAGGAAATGTGCGCTATGTAACCTTGCGAGAAGGTTGAAGGCGCTATAATCCACCAGCCGGTGGAGTAAAAGGAAAAAAAATAATATAAGGAAATTATTTAATGTATTACTTTCGGCACATGCAATTACCTTTTCAGCTGCCCCTTCGCCACCGCCGGTATAAAAATCTGTCTTTCTCGCGAGGAAACTGAAGATGGTATCCAGCAGCTAAAAAGAAAACAAAAATGTTCGTATTCTTTTGGATACAGTCTCGTGAAACGTAAATATCTCATAGTGCGACATAACCTCAAACAAGGAGAATTATACTTACGTCCTGCACACCACCCTCGTGTTGCTGAGCCAATGCCAACAACATTCCATCAAACTGATCCTCGGTCTTCGTCATTGTTTCTCGGTATTCGCGCGTGTCACGATTAACTTTATGAGAAAAAGGATAATTGTCACGTTGAATGAATCGGTACCGCTATAAAGGTAGCAAAACGATAACGCAGCTTTGTTGCTAGAACCTAACACCACGTTTCCCCGTGTGGGAGATGGAAACATCTCGAATTATCGACTGAATCGAAATAACGTGACCAGCTAAGCGATACCAGTAACCCACTCTGACGGCAGAGCAACAGAACGACTTCGAGTCGATTACCGACCATTAATATAAGTATTTTTAATATAATTCTCTCAAATTATTATATCTTTTGAAAAAAAAGTGAATAATTGCAAAAGACAATTCGTAAATCTTGAGTAAATAATATAATTGCACAACAAATTTTAAATATATCTTGAATAAAAAAAAATAATTATATATATATATATATATATATATATATATGTATATATATACATATACATATATACATATATACTATATACTTCTAAAGATAATTGCATAGTCCGTAATATATATACATATATACAATGTCAGTTGCTAAACGATATTTTAATTTATATTTTTATATTAAATACGTGCTTACGTATTCATTCTTTTATAAGATCGTTTTAATTCGGAAAAATATCGTTCTCTAATACTGTATGTGACCTTTATGACACATTACATCGTAAATAGTATTTTACCGATTTTCATTCTTCGTGTTCACGCCAACGATTATACAATATTATTATTATTAGGCACAATAAAATTTAATTAATAATAAAATTACAAACTCCGATGTAAAAAAATGTATAGGTTCGTCATTTTAATTACGCGAGAAGAGATCTATTTACCGAGATATTTTTTAATTGACTAAATATCTATTCCCAAATAATCTCTACAGGCATTTCTCACATATAGCCTGCGACTTGTTACGAGATTTTTCGTGCCGATTATTTCGCCGAAATCAGATAAAGGGCGATCTGGCGCACGGGTTGTTTTGACTTACAAGCTCGCCCGAGCGTTCGAACGATGAGGGGATAGAGAGCGGTAATAGGGGAGGGAAGGGAGTGACGCCGACGATTCCAGGTAATTCAGGGAAACGTGCAGCAAAACAACATGCGATGGAAAAACCCAAGAAGTAGCTTCGAACGAAAAATAACGTGCGTGAAGACTCACCGGTATAGCTGAACGCGAGTCGATATGTCCATCGCATCGGTCAATCCTTTTATATCTCTGCAAACGAGATGTACTACATTATTATGCGTTTAATAAATGTAATAATATTTTTTATATACTTTCATGCATTCGCGATACTTGGACACGTTCTCGCGGATCACTTTACGCGATAAACGAATTGCCCACGGTATCCCACTCGGCTCGTCTCGCGTCGCGATCTTGACCGTGGAAAGATTTCGAAAAGACTCAGAATATATTAATGGCGGACGCGACCGCTTATCTATCGTGAGTAGCTAATTAACTGTTATGATTAATTCACCAGGATGATCCGCTTCTCTCGATGCTCCTCTCGATGCTCCACCCGATGCTCCTCACGATGCTCCTTCCGAGGCTCCTCGCGATGCTCCTTGATACTCCGAACGCGGCACTCGCGACTCATCACGGACGCGACGCGATCTCAATCGCAAAAATCTTACAATTGGGGAACACTGATAGCGGACATGGCCGTTACGCAAATCACGGACGAATATGATCACCTATACTGCGATTGACCCGACGCGCGACGGTCTCTCCGATACTTCTTTCTGCTTCGCCTTCGATATCCGGGTTACAGTCCACTTGACGCTACAAATGCTTCGAAGCACGCATTTTTTGATTGATCAATTGATAAAATTCCCTGTTCCGATTGGTCAATCAAGCGCTTCCAAGCATTAATTTGTAGTGTCAAGTGGATCGCAGCCCCGATGTCGAACACGACATTCGTAATGTACGTTAATTAGGCGAATGAGTGCCGCGAGATACGCCGAGACAAACTTGTTAGAAAACGCGCGGACGCCGCGGACGAAACGCGACGCGACGCGACGCTCGACGGACGCCGATCGCGGATGTCCGAGATACGTACTGATCACGGTCACGGGGACCGATTATCGCACCGCGACGATCGTCCATTGCCGAATTCGGCACTCCGGAGGCTGATATTCTTACACGAAATTCGGCCAAAGCGGGGTAAGAAGACGGCGACAACGCTTCGTATAACTACGCACGGGCGAGGCGCGACGCTAACTGACCAGTACAAGATAGTTACTTACCGATAGAAATTTCGATCACGTGACTGTCCAAATTCGCGTCCGCCCACCCGATGCGGGAAATTTCTTAACGCTACGACGCGACGTCTTGAGACGTTAGTGCAAGAATATTAATATTATTATCGTTAAACTGACTGGATTACCTTGTAAAAAAGTTAGTTACTTGTAAAGAAATTGGTTAAATTCGGATCGTTCGATCGAACAGAAGAAGCTCGAATCATTTTTTTAGAAATATCATTTCTTATACCATCGCTCTTCTTGAGCTTAGAATGCACGGTGAAACGTTCCAAATCAATTCTTCGTCGTTGGTACATTTTATATTGAGATTGTACTGTGTTTATCTTACAAATACATATATAGATTCACGGGTCATCACTCGATCTTTTTTATACATATACTTACACAGAGAGAATTTTTTTTACCCTGCAAATAGTATTTAGGCAAATTTTACTGTGCACTACAATAAATTTTACAGTAGTAAAATACAGTAAAATTTATTGTAATGCACAGTAAAATTTGCCTAAATACTATATTGTCCCACAATTAACATGATTTGCAGAGTAAATTTTAAAAAAAATTCTCTTCGTGTAGCGCCGCTTAAAAAGAATGGCTTTGGTCAAGTATTTAAAAATGTAGCTGGATACAGATCTGAAGATAGTTTTATTGTAAAATTTGTAGATCGTTAAAATGATTACGTAAAACGCTTAAATGTTGATGACAGTGCTGCAAAAAATTTTGACATTCTAATAATCAGCTTGAGTATCCTACATAATTATTTTGATGGTCCAGAAATTATTTTCAGATTTGCATCTAGCTAAATTTTTAGATACTTTAGCAAAACTTTTTTTTTATATTTGTAAGATATCTATTTACAGATATGCAGAAAAAACAGTTTTTTAAAGTATCTAAAAATTTAACTAGATGCAAATCTAAAAATAATTTCTGAACCACCAAAATAAATATACGTATGACACTCATAACTACGAATATTTTTGCAGTATTTTGCTTTCTCTCTCGTTGTATTGTGAAACTATAAATGTATAAGTCCAAAATATCTTGATATAAAAACGCGATAAACAGCAGTACATTGCATTACAACTCTAGCTGACATTATACATAAGAATTTGACTCTACATTGTTTTATGTCTCGCGATCACGATATGTTCTCGAATGTGGATTTTCATACATTTAGGTTATATAAATATGCCTTGAGAGAAAACATTTTCCTTTCTCAATCGTACGCACCGCGGAGGCATGGCGTTTGACAGAACAGAGAGATTCGTGGAAGTGGCCACGTCGACTCTCGCTCGAGTGGGCCCGGGGACTTACGATGTATTGGATCCATCAGAGCCAGCTCGAGATCCGGGTAAACTTATAATGCAACAACATCCGCACGCGAAATTCTTCGGTGAAACTTGCATTCGCACGCGTCGTGTATGCCATTACGTAACACCGAACTATACCACTCCACAGACAACGCTTATCCATTTTTGAGCGGAGCCAGCAGGCAGACACTCGGCATACCAAAAGACGCGCATAAGTTTCCGGGTCCTGGCTCTTACAATATAGAGGCGCCGCGGAAACGTATACCAGAACGTGCATTTTCCCTATTCATGCCTCATTCATTTGCAATTCTTCCGCATCGGCGTACGCGCGGATATTCGATATCCTCTGAAATAATAATTTAATAATTTACAGGGTGGTGTAAGTCTCGATTACACCGACGTTAGATTTCGAGAAAGAGTGCGTGAGGGACCGGGTCCCACAGAGTACACCTTGCCGAACGATTTGTTTAAGGAGAGCCCACGAAAAATAAGATCCCATCCGGGCACTTGGCGTGGTTCCGCAGGCAAAGTAAAGTATCTTCCTGATTTATGTGTGTATTTCTGTGTACTCGCAAATATTTCCCGTAAATATTTGTAAATACATACGCTAATGCTTTTCGTTCATTTTAATAAGTTTGCGTGTAAGCAGTTTTATAAATTCTTAATTCGCTATCTATATAATATATTATTTTAAACGACAACAAACCTATGACGGCGCATAATAAATATTACAAAAAATTAAAATAATTTATCGCAAGAAAAAACATCTCGCTCTCGTGTAAGATTTTAAGTCAGATTCCCAACACAAAATACTGTACTTGTAAGATAATTCGTTTGTTATAAAAAAATACTTTGATAATAAAAAGAACAAAGTAAGGAAAAGAAGAAGCTAACGAAAGGAACGCAAACGCAACTTGATGCGTGAAGAAAATTTAACAATTTTAATGATACTGATTTGAGTCATCTTCAGCAATATAAAAATTTTGATGACGCTTTTCATTCGCATACGTGATAAAGTTATGGATTCATTTAGTGTGTGTCACTCTTGACTGATTGATATTTTCTATTCTGACCGTGAATGCGCACATTTTACATTCCGAACTGCTTTTATATTATTATATTTTTTAAAATTCTGACTGCCCTTTGACTTCAACTTTTATTTATTTTTATATTTATTTATTAATATCTTGCGATCCACGAGATGTTTATTGGTTTCTATTCTCTCTACACTTGGGGGTATCATTATTTTTAGACGATTGCCTCTAAGATGTAAGATACGTGAATGTATTCATAATTAGCTTTATCACGTGTGCGGAGAATGGAAAAGTGTCGTCAAAACTTTTGTATTGCTGAAGTTGGCTCAAATCAGAACCGAAACGTCCAAGTGATCGAACTGAAATATTAAAATTGTTGAATTTTCTTCACGCACCAAGAACCGCGTTGACTCTCATTAGCTTCTTTATTCATATTACTTTGTTTTTGGTACTTTTTATAACATCCTTGAAAAAATACATTTCCTTTTTACAATCTATTATTTAATTTCAAATACTTCTATTTACAATTATTACATATTTAACGTAGCTCTTTGTTAGCTATGGCTGATCCGTCCTCTGCGACCGTTCTCGATAGGCCTCTCCGTTCCTTCGAAACGTGACTGCGGATTCGACTACGACGAACGAGGCGTACTTGTAAAAAATCCGGTCATCGAGGATGAGCCGACCGACTTTTATGACGTTCCCCGAGGGGTACGAATAAGAATGTCGTGGCTCCCTTTTGTGAAATACCTCGCGAACGATCATTTATACCGTAGGAGACAAACATTACCGCTCTGAAGTACAAAGGAAACTTTTGGAGCAGAATGAAGGGTAAAGATGACGAACGGACTTCCGTGACCCCGGGTCCCGGGGAGTACGAGCACGAAACAAAGAAAAGTCCCGCCCAAATCCAAAACGAGAGAACTAGGGAAGCGAAAAGAGCCGCCGCTAAGCAGCCGCGTTTCTTGGAAGCTTTGTACCAGCAAAAATTACGCCAAGTAATTTTAAGAACATGCTTTGTAACTTTCGCAGTCGCCGGGCTCCAGTCGCGAAAAGTCTCCGAGCCGGGAAAGACTGCCCCTGTATCTGTGTGAATCGTCTTATGGAAATTTTCCTTTTCACAAAGAACTTTCCAGCTCCCAATCATTACGGCCTACCAAAAAGCGTGTTCGATAAGTACAAGTTACGTATCCCGTGTAAATGTGACCCTCTTACCGGAAAACCGCCGCCATTCAATCAAACTGCGAAGGTATAGTTTCTACGAATATGATATGTTTGCTCTATATAATTATTATAACACAATTATGATAAATATTAATATGAAACCTAATGAAGATTACGAAAAGTTCAAACAAGATTAGAAATGCTAATTGCGGTCTAAAGCGAATCTTGATACTTAATAATTCTTTTTGTGTTAATCTTACAGCTTCCAGTTCAGATAAACTGCTGAATATTTTTCGATTTTGAAACACGATCTTCAAACACAGCTTCAAATTACGTAGTCCTCAATTCGGATTACGTAATATCACAATTAAATTGATAAGCAATTTAATAATTTTGACGATAATAAGCATCTTAAATCCTGTAGAATAACGCATTGCAAAAAATATTACCTCAGCCAGGATCCAGGACTTTTTATATTTAACGCTTCTAATCTTGTTGGGAAATTATGATATATTTTTCTTATTTTAAGAGATTCGAGGAGAATATTCAATTAGATACACCCGGGCCTGGCGCGTACGAAATCACGGCTCCGCAAATTTGTTACGGTTCTATTCTCCACGCACCTTTTAGCGCTGTCGATGAGCGTTTCAAAAGAATTATGGAGGTGGTGACGCCAGGTATATGTTATGTAATTAAATTTTGTCACATAATATTTACATCACACACGTGAATTCGTATTAGAACTGCATAAGTTTACGTTATAGGTCCCGCGGATTATCACACGGTTGTCGGAACTTTGGCTTTTGAATCCGCAAAGCGTTTTAAAAATAAATATCAAAAAATGTTTGATTACGTAAAATTTTACAAAACATTGTCATCAATAAGCGACGATGACGAATACACAATCGATGAATGTAAAGTGTTGAAAGAAGTAGACAAAGAAAAATATCCGGTATACCATGCAGTCTTCAAATCAAGAGTGGATAGATTTCCAAAAATTCGCAATGTGAGTATTATAAAAATTTTCTATGCTTTATATAGCACATTTATTTATTTCAATCCGATTAATTCAATTAATTCTACGCTCATACGTTCAATTAATATTTTCCTGCAAAAAAACTTATTTAAAATTTATATGCAATGTTATTTAAAATTATGTCACTTTATCGATACACTGCAATAAAAATGCACGTGCGATCAACCCAATTCGCTGAGAGGTGTCAGCACCGTCATAAAAACGTGATACTACAATAATAAATTTTATAAATTTATTTATATAATTCAGTATATTTTATTCATCGAAATAATTTTCTGTATGGATGACATATTCTAATCGATTGATATGAATTACTTTTGATATAACAGGCTGTCAGCCAATTACAGAAATATTCTAAAAACTATAACAAGTGTTCGAAATAATATATTAACAATAATTTGCATAAATTATCAAGCTTAAGTAATAAAATTAACTATAACATATGCAATGAATAAATTATTTCTTTAAGCTAACTTCTAAGATTATTCCCAATCTTGTGTCTGAACAAAATTATATTTAGAATATTAGACATATAACATATTATCTTATTTTTATATATATCTTATATTTATCCTAACGGATCAATCGATCGGTGTTCATTGCAATAAATAAAGTAGTCGCTTGCTTCTGCAGCATAAAGAGCATAAAGACTGAGATGGCGAGAGGCTCGAGCTAGTAGTCTCAATAAGTCTGTGGTCAGACCGTACGTACGAAGATTCTTTCGGCTTGTTCGGGGAACTCGTGGGCTCGGTGGAGCCGAGTAATCCGGGAAGCGCAAGGTAATCAGGAGAGCCGGAGACGAAATTAATGGCAGCGGATCGAACCGATGCATCTGTACCCGGGGCGATTCGGGGCTAGGATCCAATCTGGCCGTTAATCGAGAGCGTCGGGACGAGATTCGATGGGCCGCAGCTCGTGGATAGGACAGGATAGACTCAGTGCCGAGCGACCTGCTGCTGCTGATTCCGCCGTATTCCACGAGTTCGTGTAGTTTAGATTAGCTGACGTTTCACTTAAACAATCGAAACAGTCGTGCAAAAGTGTCGGTGAAATTTGTACGTGATGTCGGTGCATGATGCCGATTGTTGAATTAACGTTGTTTACTATTGTAGCCGTGACAGCTTCTTGCTGAATGAGGCAAACTTTATACGATGGTATTGACAGTCAATATCCTTCTTTTCGCTGGATATTTTCTCGTCGATGACAATAACGTTGCAATTCGAGGAAGCCGTATTTACATAATGTAGGGAAGAATGGTGACTGCGCGTACACGCCGGAAATGACATTTTGCTGCGCTCTGCAGGTCATTTCCACGGTAGAGGCGCGTGGCCGATGTTGCCCAGAGAAATCACTTCCGGCTCGTTGAGCCGGAAATTCGAGCCAATCCCTGCCTGGTGTCTCTGTCTCTGTATAGTGCGAATTGCGAATAGCCGGAAACATCGGCGCTTAGGTTGTTTGTGTCCGAATCGGCATTCATTCTAAATGATTAAATTATAAAGAGGAGGATAACGAAGTCTCCTCTATTCTCTTCTATTTTTATCAGGCGGGAGTAATATGGTTCGGAATATAAAAATACAACTACAATATTTCGTGTCTCGCAATTGTATATAATATTTAAAATAAGATCAAGTGGCGTGTGTCAGTCACACATTTCAATTAAAGATCGTTTATCGTTCAATTTTGATAGGGTGATGTATCGGATTCAGGTGCTTACGAAGTTTTATCAGCCTTCAAGGCTAATCGTGATAGATGCGAGTTCCTTTGTCGACGATTAGCTCCACCCTTCGGCTCACGCGCCAGTCGGTTTCCGATGATACTGAAAGGCGATTTCCATGTACCAGGTACAAAGTGAAGTAAATATCAAAAGAAATCGTCTAGGCAGGTCTTTTTCATTATTGCTATGCGTGCCCAGGTCCAGCGCACTACGATCTCAGGGGAGATATATCAAAGAACGTGAAGAATGGCGTGATATATTCCGCTCCTCGTGAAAAAAAGGAGCATTTCAAAGGACCAGGGCCATTGCATTATCACGTAAGGTTCTTTCAATTTATGCGTAATCGATATATGGAATATTTATTACAAACATTCTATTTTATTTATTACGCAGTCAAAATTTTATAGCAAATAAGAATCAATTATTAAGTACTTAGAATATTAGAAGATTTAAAAAAATTACTTAATAAACGAATGTGTATTACAATTTTTAAATCTACATCAGTAGATACAATATTTACATATGTACACAATTATGTAATTACACATGCATTTCTTTGATGAGTCTTACAGGTATTAGTTCAATTCTGTACATCGAAAAATTTATTTAATAACAAGCAAGTGATCGCCTTCGATCGGTTACAATTTTTAATCTTCCGACTCGTAAAAGCATTCGATAGTATTTACTTAGTTATAACATGGCAGGATATTGCGTGCTCTCACAGCATATGAGAGTAATACCGGATGCTTCAGATGGTGATGTATGAGGCACAGTTATATACTGTGAGGTGGCTAACATCCTGCATTATTCTGTGTGCTGTACTTTCGCTACATTCGTGCGTAAAGTGGCTTCCTAAATCGCAGATATTAGAAAAATGCGGATTTGTTATTATAATGTACCGCTTAAAAGAACCATTTGTGATTAAATACATTAACTAAATACAATTAAATTTTCAATTGAGTAAAGTCAGTTAAATATATGTATAATTAATATCAATATGTTTAACTAATTAATGATTTTTTATATAGATACATCCATATATTACGTCATCCATTTTGAAAAAGTCATTCAATGTCAGTCTCGGTAAACCAAGAACCATAGAAAGAATGAAATCCAAGAATGAGATCCAAACTCCTTGGCATCATAGACGACCGAAGAAAACACTTCGTTGGTTCGCTGTACCTCGCGAAAGATATCAACATTGTATTTTTCCATGATATTTATTGATTAATAAATTAATAAGTTTTGTGAAGCTCCAGATAAGAAAATCTCAAATATATAATTATTATAATCGTATTGTATTAATCTTTGATAAAAGCCTTTTTATGTGTCTTTTAAAAACATTCTATTCTTAGTATAAATAACAATGAATTATAAGATTCATGCCATAATTAAATTACTTCATCTTTTATAACTACCTTAAGTTTCTATAAATTATTTACTTCTATTGATTATGCAGAACAAATGGAAGAATTTCATAAATATTCAAACAAAGAAAAGAGCTTGCAGCGCAATAAATGTTTTTGTACCTTCGAGGAGAACCACAACTGAGATCAATACGAGATACTCAGTAGAAGACATTTACTAAACTGTAATAGCCGAGTGTAATGACGCGTAAAGAAAGGCAAATGTTTTCCAAATATAAGATTATGCAGTTGAAAGTCCTACGGCTGTACTTATTACCTGCAATATCGGTAAATTGAAATTTAATGTCCTTCGATAGACTTCGATAATCCCTAACATTTGGTACATTAAATATTATAACGTTCTTAAATCTTAATTACGCACAAATAATATTAAACATGAAAAACAATATAAAGAAAATCATCTAAACATCAAATTTTTATTAAAATTAACAAATTTACAAATTCTGCATTGAAATTTATAATCTAAAATTGTTAAAATTTAAAATCTGATGTACACATACTCAAATAGCTAAAATTTTAAATCACATTTTTTACTGTAATCTGTTAAAAATCAATAAAATCGGATAATAAATGTTTTAGTATGATTAAGTTATACATTTTTCAAAATATGTGTGCCATTGAGATGGAAATGTATAAACGGCTGATACTATTTCAAGTTGTAATCAGTAATTTATAGGCAAAAGGCAATCCATTTATATGGGATCATGAATACATGAATCTGCATGGTTATCAACCAACGTAATGCCATGGCAGGTGACACATATCACAAATACAAGAAGGATACTCAACAAATCTGGGAACAAAAATAACTAATGTCTAATAGAAAATGAATACTACACGTGACACGAATACTAGATATGTTTGCGAGACAAATCTCTCTATTTTAAAAATTACAAATATAAGTTAAAATAGAAAGTAAAAAATATATATTCGCATTTTATGTGCAGTGCAATCATTATTTATATATCATATTATTATCTTAATAAAAAATTCCATTAAACTATTATATCAAATAATAAAAAAAAATAGTATTTGTTATAATATATTTGCTATAATAATATTAACAATGATAAAATACAATTCATAATTTTAATATTACTGTGTGAGATTACTTAATCTGCTCTAATATCGAATTTTGTGATAATTATGCTAAAATAATTTCATCTGGCTTTCAAAAATAAAGTGTAACTTTTATGGAATATTAAATTAAAAATATAATCGGATAGTGCGAATATCGTATTATATTTGAATTAGAAATTGATACTCATATAACTCTTTATAAAATGATAATTTTGCAACACTTATTAAATTTCTTAACATATTATCTTCTCGTATTTTTACATTCTCAAAAGACGAATCAATATTTAATTCTTATTAAGTCAGTAATTTTTAAGTCAAATATCAGATAATCGCAAATGAACCGATCAATATCTGTATCTTTGATTATGCAATATATTATGCACCCACATTGAATCAATCAAGCATTGCAGATTATCTCTGTGGTCATAATCTGCTTTTGGCACATGCCCAGGTTTATAATATGTAATATGTATGCTCGTGAGTTTTAACATCAAAAAGATAAAATCTAACATATAGTATTGTACAATTTATCAGATGGAAAAGACATTCTAAAATGTGTTTTCTAAATTGATTCATCTATTCAATGAGATACCTTTGACAATTTAATAAAGAAATTATATTATTTTGAATGTATATAAAATAAGATAGTTTTTTATATAAATTAAATTATAAAATAAAATATCCACGGAAGAGATACTATTTTCAAAGAAATATATAAAAAATTTAATAAATAATTTTTTCATCTCTTGCTCAACGAAACTGGCGATTATCCCAAAATAATTCAAGTTATTCAATAAAATGTATCCGTTTATACATTCATTAGTTAGTTATTAATTTTTACATTTTTTAGAATACACTATAGAAATTAATAAATAAAACTTTCAAATCGTAATAATAATCGAAAGACAATTATTTATAACTCGAAATTATAATTACAGAAAATAGCTATGCTAATACGAGAGCTAGCGTTGACATAAATAGGCCAATTTTCCATCAACGTACATGAAGTACTAAGTGCCATGCATAAAGCCATCAACATCATAGACTACACGATTTGGCGTCTCTAATCGATAACTTCGAATCGAGGTCAGATTATTTGTAGATCAATATCTTATTTTTAAATATTCTGTTTTTATTTAATGATAAGAATTAATATGTTTCCATTTTTCATAGTGACAAATTTAAATTATACTGCACAAATTTTGAACATAAGAATATAAAAATTAAATTGACTAAATTAACAAAAAATGTCTTTTAAAATTACATCAAAGATAAATTTATTATTAATAAATATCCTAAATAAATCAGATAGTGTTAAAAAAAGATTCTTGAAATATCTTATTTTCATAATTTAATAATATTGTAATTTGTAGATCAATAATATGTACAGATATATATATACTTTATTTTATGTATTATTTATATTATATTAATCTCAATAATTAACATAACATAAAGTAAAAAATAATGTAAATTTGATGAGACAATATATTATACTTTTTACAGAAATCGAAACTATATACATAATAATTTTATTTATATATTTATGGTTTAATGTGAATTTTATACTTTATCGATATTATCAAAATATCAGTTATATCTGTTCTCTATATGTATGTCTGAAAACAATCTATAGATAGAGAACAGTTCGCGTACAGGATTATATGACTCATGCGAAATCGAGACTAATACGAAACGAGAGTAACGTAAATATAGCGAATGATTTTTATCATAAATACAAAGAGGATCTACGTCGGACGAGAAGCATGTAGATCCTCTTTGCATCTGCGTGTTTTGAATATCTCTTAATACCTTCCATCTACTGTTTCTTTTGCTTCTTTTTTGAAGTAAGCAGAAAAGATTCCATTCGTGTATGTAAAAGAAGAATTCTATCTACCTGAATTATAGACATAATTTACCGATCACAATGATTTTAATATAATTCTATGTTAAATAATTTAAATAATTGAAAAACTATTTACATAAACGTAAATAAAAATTAATTATAATCTTTGAACAAGATAGGAGTTTTTATTAATTCAATATTATTAAAAAATTAAATATTAATCAATATAAGCCTATCAGATTATAAATCTAACAAACAATATCATAATAATATTATTTGTTAGATCGATATTATTAAGTAGAGAAATATTTCTATATATGCTCTTTTATATATATATATATATATATATATATATATATATATCTTTTATAACATTTACATTATGTTGTATTGTTGTTTGTATATTATAAGACATCAGAGATCAACATTAAAATAAATAAAAATTTACATTTTTAATAAGAGTTCAATTATGTATTTATTTTGTATGTATGTATGTATGTATGTATTTTTCTTATATTTCACAAAATAAATATTAAAAAACGTTTAAATACCATAAATGTTATTATTATTGTCTTGTCGTAAAACGAGTTAATATACTGGAAAAAATGAGATAAATACGTTTTTTTATAAAAAACGCGTTGATACACAAAAAATTAAAATACATATTGAATAATAATTAATGGAATATACAAATCTTGACTCCAATATTACAAGAAGGACTTGCTTGCAAAAAGCATTAGTGAGTGTACTGTTGATACAGGAATATTGTAATATAACAATGTTGTTCTTCTTGTGGTATCGTCTAAGAAGTTTGCTCATTTGGAGACTAAAATGTTAAGATGTCCTTGTCATGGGTAAGAATTTTGCCGCACGGGTTCAGAAACTTCGTTAACGAAGATGCTATACGACACTGTAACGACGTTATTAATGAAATTATAACGAATAATATGACGCCCATGTTTACCCCGTTTGACTGGGATTTACCGCTCAATTTACAACTTTTGGACAAATGCACAAATTCTATGTTAGCGAAACAATTTCAGAATTACGTTAGAATAATATTTGAATCCTTTAAAAACCAAAAAGAAATTTTATTTTTTTATATACATTTTTCAAAAATTTATATTTACGCAATTTTGTGTACAAGCTCGAAGAAAAAAGAGAAGAAATAAAGGAAAAAAAAGAATTTAGCCTCTGAAAGTTTGTAATTTTTAATATTAATTAAAATTTTATAATTTTTGAAGATACCTATTTTCTCAATCTGATTCTGCTTTTAAGTGAAATTTTGGGCTACCATAAACGAAGCGAATTTGATAGTATATCCTGACCGAAATGTGCGTATAGCGGCAATTAATCAATTTGACATTACAGATTATCATTGCGGTCATCGTGCGCTATTAGCGTACGCGAAAGTGTATAACGTGTATAATGAAAATTTTCACCAGTTGCAAAATGGTATGTATCACTAATGTATAATAATATCAAAGCATATTGTTTTGTTCCACAAGCATTTAGACTGCATTTTTTATCTGAATTTGAAAATTTTCCTCGCAGTGTATTCAAACTGCATTTTTATTAAAAATACATTTTTCGCAATCGGCGATAGAAAAAAAATTGAAATCCTATTTGATACGTGGATAAAACAATGATTCATAAATCTACATTTGTGACCTAAAAGAGAGATCATAAATAATACAATAGTTAATTTATCTAAACAAATTTTCAACTAATGCGATAATTATTTGAAGCTTATATGAAACAGAATAGAAAAATCTTGAAAAATTTCTTCCAAATGTAGTTTTGCGACTGTTTTATTTTACAACCTTTTTTACAAATTTTTATTTTATATATATATAAAAGAGCGATTTATAAAAAAATTCTGCTAATTTGTTCGAAATTTATTTTTACTAAGAAATTAATATTTGTATAAAATATTTGTGTAGATATAAATGTAGAAAAAAAATATCTCAAACATAAAACCGATATTG